CCCCCCCGCAATTAAGTAGCCATGTAAATTATGTATAATTTGGCATATCAAATTAAACTTGCGTTACAAGCCATAAGTATAAATAAACTTTTTTGATATTGATAAGTATTTTAGAAGAGTTACTTAAAATACGTAGAAATGCAAGTTTTCGACAACAAATCAATGACTGCTCTCTTTCCTGCCACTTTTTATATCTTTGGTATGTCCAGTTCTGATTAATGTTTGTGTGTTTATAACCATTATCGACACCCGCTGCAAAAATTTTCAAAAGGGCTTTGGAAACGAGTTGAACTTTTGTTTCAGCATTGAACTCATTGCGGTTAAACCCTTTGAATTTCAAAGAGCTTTACGTCAGTATCATACCATATGGGTGGTTCAACATTTCTCAAATATATCACACCCCACATGTACGTTCTGAACCATGCTGTAGTGCCAGCGTTTGCTTGATACCTTCTGATAAGAATAGGATGAGGTACTGGTAGCAAACCTACCAGAGTACCGTGTTGTAGGAATTTCAAAATTTCACTCTCATCCGTTAATCCCCTGAAAAACATTTGATTAGGAAACTATTGAGAAACACAAAGGTCACAAATGTATAAGACTTATGCGTACTTGTCAATACATATTTTCTCGACCTGAGGAACTAGAACCTGAAGTAATCGCATTATGGTCTGCAGAGGTAATTTACTCTTCCATTGATGAACCCAATCACCTGAAGGTACCCATTGATTTGAATGCAATAAATTCGGGTGCTCAGCCACCCTGATTCCTCCTTTCTGCGTCCACAGTTAAATGTATCAGATTTATTACGAAAGAAATGATAAAGAAGAGTGATTGGGCATTTGTTATGGATTCCTAGACTTACTGGGGCGACGGAATTTAGTTTGCTTCCTGGTAGAGCGTCGTCAGTAGCATCTCCAGCGCCTTGGTGACTACTGTTTCCTACCTTTCCAATATCTACGTCTACTGATGGACTCAGAGGATGAGCTGATTCCTTTTCAGTCATTTTCTCAATACCTTGAGTAAGAGAAGTGTAAGGAATTCATGACAAATGTTTGCATTTATACTGGATTACGATTAGAATTGTACCTGGTGTTTCTAACAAGGATGCCTTCAGTGTACCGGGTTCCGCTGGCTGTGCCGGATGAGATCCTTCCATTACTAGTTCACTGACATTCTCATTAGAAGTACTAGGAGGTATCGGCCTGCGCTGTCTCTTGCTTAGAGAACGAGCAATCGTGTTGCAATCACTAGGTAAATTTGCCAGGGCGTGAAAGACTTGGCGTTTACGTATAATCGTATAAACCAAATTGCTGTTTCCATCAAATTGATACTAAAAGAATAATTAAGAGAGTTGCATAACCTGCTATTAGTATAATGTCAGAGAATGATTACCTGAATGATATTGTTAAATATTTCCAAGAGGAAAAACACCAAGTGATGATTGGTTGGTGATGAAAATAAAAACCAGGGTGTACTGAATGCTTCTAATAAATGAAGCAATTTTGTACTTGCTACCATAGAGAGCGTTTTTAAATATGGAGATACATTCACTAAAATTGTTAATAGACAATCAAATAATGGTTGTAGTCTTTGATGACCTGTTGTGATGATCTTATGAAAGACTGTGACCAAGAGATCAGCATGAGTGCCTGAAATTTATATAATAATTATTTCATGACCTGTATTTATAATTATTGTAACATACCGGTAAAGACTGGAATGTCCATTGGTATTGTAGCTGTATAAGGTTTATTTAATCTAACACCAAAATTACGTTCTCCACTGAGCAGCAGGAGGATAAATACACCAATGTGCATTAATCCAACTCTCGCTAAAATTAGGAGACAAAAATTAATAGATGATTTATATAGAATAATAACAGCATCAAAAAAATTAACTCACATTGGTCAGCTCTGGAATCATTAAGATGATAAAGAATAGGCACTAAGACTTCGAGAACGTCTGAGCTTTTTAGTACATAGTAGAGAAATTTCTTATTGTAATCACACATCTTCCAGAAGAAAACTAAGAGCTCCTGATGAAAGTGAACCTTCTTCGTAGAGTTTGGTAAATATGTTTGCATTAGGGGATTGTTTAACAGTCTAGTTATACCCCTTAATACAAATTGAAAATCTGTGAGAGATATTAGTATATGTATCGATGTGGAAAGTCAATTTATAATTATAAAACGTGATTAGCATACCTTCATCTCGGTGTATGCGGCTCAAATAATTAATAAATAAATTATCTCCGGTTGCACCTTCCTCTGAAGGTACACCACCGCTTGTATCGTGATCCAATGTGACTATTAAAATTTGCAATGCCACGTCTACTAAAGGTTCTAGAGAATCCGTGAATAGAAGGTGATTATAAGGAACTCCAAGTCCAACCGGATCATATGCACATACAGTGTTTAGTAAGGATGTAAACATTGGTAATGCATGTCTGTAACGTTAAGTAGATATTTGATACTGTCGATACAAGATTTTATTCGATTTCTAATGAACAAATGTTTACCGATTTTCAGCACTTGTTAGATGCTGAATCCACCTGTTCGGCGAAACTGATAGATCGGTTGGTGGATTGTACATTGTTTCACTGAAGCATGTTAGCAAGAGTTTTAATAATTCAGTTCGATTAGAATCCAAGTAGGGGTATCTAGGTGGTGAATGTGCAAAACCTACACCAGCTTCCCAGATATATTCACAGCTATCTATAGACTGTAATTCTTCAGCTTTATCCTGATGAATATTAAAATTAACATAATATGTAATCTTAATTTTTAAATACTAGATATTGCACGTATTGAAACAAGACTTACAGGACCAGATTTTTTATTTCCTGCAACTGTGAAATCAGGACAAAACAATAGATCACAAAGTGCATTTAAGAGAGAGTGAGCCAATGGCATACTCTCTTCATCTTCCTTCCCAGGTAAGCTGGACCAAAAGAATCCTTTCCAGTCTGAATCCTCAAAAATGTAGGGTAATAACCGTGTCAATAATCGACAACAATTCAGAACTGTCTGGTGTTCCCTTTGAGTTCTGCAGCTATTATCAACCGCCTTGACCAACTTCTCTACAGCTTTATAACATAGTGTAGCTAGATTCGATGGAGCTTCCTCACGGAGGATTCGAATTTCAGGAGCTGGTATTAATGTAAAAATATCTTGTACATTAGATACATTTTCAGACCAAAATTGATCCCAAAACGTATCATCCGATGCATCTATAAGCTGTAAATAAACGATTCTTTATATTGCCTACTACAACAAGAGTTGACCCTAAAATTAGTATTACTCCATTTGCAATAACGAAATAATTGCGCAAAAAAAAAGAATAAAAAAATTTCGAAGTATTCGTATAGAAAGAACAAGTTTTTTGACAAATACTAAGGTAGTGGAATAATCTGCCTTAGAAAGGGAAATTATAACTCAGTATGTTACAGATCACTAGATAATAACATTTTCTTTTTCCAACTAACTTGAGTTTTAGACGTCAGCTGCACGACTGCTTTACGAAAATTCAACTTTGTGTCAGCATTGCCCATGTTGTCTTAGAATTGTTCAAAAATTAGTTGCAAGATTAAAAATATTTTTGACAGAACATATTACTTCACTTCAGGCGAGAATAACCAGCACCATTGTTGTTCTGTGTGGGCAGCAATGGGCAGATTCAAGTAGGGCTGACCTGAATTGACAGAAAATGTCAAAGACAAAATGTCCCTATTCCAGCTGACTGTTGCAAGTCGAGAATCTGTTACATGACGTCTGCCAATCCCGAAACTTTAACATTGATTAATTTATTTATATATTTAATCGCATCTATTATCATTAACTAACAATTGTAACCGGCTAACATGGTAAACATTGTAGAACATATACAAATTAATTTATTCGCTCTTGACAGTTTTATATTTGCAAAGAACAACATTTATTGTGTTCTCACAACTTTTGTTTTGCATTTAACGATATTTGTATTTGTTATTGTCAAACCGGTGAAATTATATTTTGTCTAGAAGCTGTTGCAATATATTTTATTGTATTTTACAGGACGACGATATAGCTGCTCTTCAGAGATTGGAGCAACTTATGACAGAATTCTTCTCGCCTGAAACGAACAACGAACGAAAACGATCGATCGAGCAGAGTCTCCAGGAATTCACAGCTCAGATTAATTCCTGGAGGCCCTGTCTTCACTTTTTATCATCTACAAACAATCATTATGTCAGTATGTTTGCTCTTACAACTCTCGAAGTAAGTACCATCCCTGTTTGTCTCTTACAAACAAGCATTGGATGCCATTATAAAAACAAATTTATCCATCTCTCAGACAACCATTGGAAGACGGTGGCCAATTTTGCCATGGGAGGACAGAGCTCTTATCAGATCCACATTATATACTCTTTCGTTAGAACGAGGTGTAGCTCCATTTGTTAGGAACAAGGTGGTTAAATTGGTAGTTGATATAGCAAGACATGACTGGCCACATTTTTATCCTGACTTCTTTTCGAACATTTTACAGGTGAGCTAACACATTCCGATTAAAATCTTATAGCTCATTGAATAATACCTATGTCTCGTCGGTATATATATTATGCTTGGAAAAGTTGTTAGGTCACAAGCACACAAGATTATTGGGTCTGGTGTATCTGAGAACAGCATCCGAAGAATTAGCAACACCACGCGAGGATTTACCAGTTCATAGAAAAGCTGAGCTGCTGCGGTTACTGAGTGCACAAGTATCTCTAACTCTGGATACATTAACTGGTTGTTATCTCAATATTTTTACTGTTGAACGTCTAAACAATAAATTTTATTCAAGTTTTTCATTCCGAATTTCAGATCTATTAATCGAAACAACTAGAATGCAAAATCGCTCAGGAACTGTTACACCACCACCTTCACCCACCGGAGGTCAAAATTTGCCACTAGCACGTCCTGTCCTGGACGTTGAGGGATTAGCGACTGGTAGTAGCGAAGTATGTATAGCTACTCTGGACGTTTTAGCACATTTATTTGGCTGGATAACTCTGTCGGAGCATATATCTTGCAATCTACTGGACGCCATATTTTCCTGCGCTAAATATCATGATTCAATGGTAAATACATGCTGCCTAATTTTGTTCCAACAATGAGAGAGATCCTCCTTGTAACCCAGGCGAATTCTTCGACAGAACGGGAAACAAATAGAAATGGCTATACAGGCGATGACAACAATAAATGAACTTTTATATCGGCCATGCTCGCCCAGTGCCACTGAGCGACTGTTGTTACAAATATTTCAAAATGGTGTGGCACTCTTTCAAATCATGGAACGGCTGGATGCCATTGACGAAAGGTAATTAAATGTCAAGTATTTCTTTTTTTACATCAATTAAAGTTTCCTGTAAGCATATATTATCATATTTGCAGCTACATGGAAAAAACGACGGAATTTTTACAATTGTTTGTAACGAATCATTTAAAGAGAGTGGAGTCCTGTCCAAAATTTCCAGTTAACACTTTACTGGAAATCTTATATCATCATACGTTTCAGCAATGCTCAACAATCAATGGTTATCTGCGTTGCTTAGAAGTTTGGATTATCCTGTTAGAAAGTACACAGTCAAGATACGCCACTGTAGCATTAGCCCTTGCAGAACGCGTCCAGCAGAAAATTAGTTTCAAGCTAGATTCGCAAACCTTAAAGGATCTGGACGTGGAAACACTGGATGAAAATGTAAGAAGGTTACATAAGAAATGTTACTACAAAATCTCTCAGAGTATTATGAAATTTGACATTTACAGGAAGAAACAGAATGGCAACATTATCTCCGGCGCAACGTAGAATGTTTAGCTAAAGTAGCGGATATATCACCCATCCCAGTATTCACAATATTAGTAAGATTAATTACGCCCTATCGCAATTCAATTTTCTTTTATCTTCTTTAACAATATTCGTCCCAAATTTTAGTATCGTTCCTGGAGAGAAGGACTGACAGTGTATGGTGAACTAGGATCAGCAATCGCTAACGGACAAGTGATACTATTAAATGAAACCGAAGCATCAAACGTCCACGCGCATTTAAGAGACTTAGCATCGACAACTCAGGCCTTGGCCAGACTGTACACACATTTCGTAGGTAAGTGTCAAAAGAAACTAAACATAATCCTTATGATCGAGAATTTCCAAGATTTGGAACTTGGTTAATTTCTAGGAGAGCAGCAAGGAGTGGATCAATCATTGGCGGAGGAGCTGGTGTCGCAAACTTTGGATGCCTGCAATTTCGCCAGGGATCATCGATTATTTGCGGCAGCAGTTCAACCAGCTGTGATAGTAATGGATCTTATTGAAGTGTAAGACAACTCTTATCACGCGATCGTAAATAATTTGTATAATTTCTTTACTCTGTATTTACTCTTAGGCACTCTCAGTTACTGGCATCCCTTCAAGCCTGGTCTCACTGGATAGCTAAGAGACCAGACAAGTCAAAAGAGGCCTTGTGCCAGCATTGCGTACTCTCTTGTATTTGGGCCTTGACCTATATTCCTCCTCCGGATGCACCACCATCATCTTTAATCCATTCCGGAGCTCATCTCTTACAAAGTGTCATAGCTATTCTCAAACCCAACTTGTGGGACCAACCTATATTCAGGGACTTACTCTGTCTTGGGACTTATCCTTACCTTAAGCCTGATACCGTAAAAGTTTTGAGACGAGCACTAGTAAATGGGATTATTTTACCTGTTGGAGATGCTGCAGTTAGACAGAGATTAATGGGTATCTATCTCTCTTGGTATGGATTATAAGTTATACTATCGGATACTTGTTCATATAAAATCAATTTCAATAGGTATAATGGTAGGAGCCTTATCAGAACCATTGGGTCAATTAGGACGACCTGCACCACCGGAAACAACAGTATCGACAGCAGTGATAACTTTAAAGCAACTTCTTGAGGATTGTTGTTCCTCGTCGACGGTTATTAAGAAATTACTTCACGTTTGTCTGGAATCAACAGTCAACAGAACCCTAGAGTTGTTACCTGAGATGGTACGATGCCAAGGAACTTGTGAAATGCTACTAGGATTTTTGCATGCAGCATTTCGAGTGCTACAGCAACAACTTGGGCCAGAATTTACTCAAAATGCAGTACAAGGGATGCTTCATATTTACACACGGTTTGTTTGCCTCTAGATAACAGTTTATTATATTTTCTAACAAACCTTTATCATTATGCATGTTCATGTCATCACAGGGAAAATATTTCTGCTGGTCCAGCCTTGGAACAATTGTTAGAAATTCTTATACTGGTTGTATCAGCACCTAGTAATGCATTTAAAGCATTTGTTCCTTCTGTGACTGGTTTGTGCTTAGGACATGTCTGGCCAGCTGTTGGCAATAATCTAAGTGCCCACCCGGATACAACCCTGGTACTCCTACGACTGCTCTATAGGTAAAATATCCGGTTTGCTCTAGCATGTAAAAGAGATTGATAAACTTTGTCATTTTGATATCTCAGTATTTTAATGCATCGGTGGCAATATTTCTATGACGCTTCGGTCTTGAGGACGTTTGGACAACACGACACAGATGAGCCACTTGAGCACAAAAAAGAGGAATTAGTCGCCATTTTGGAAGCCTTTGGTCAAGCACTCTTACAGCCAGATGTTAATATATTCCGTCAAAGTTTACAAAGCCTTGAACAACTTAATGGACGATGGCGACTCTATCAACGTTCTGTCTTCAAGGATCATTTACTAGAAAGATTCCTAATGGCGCTCTTCACAGTCTTATTTCAGCGGTATATTTATTTATTTTTGTTATTTTAGTTTTAAACAGAACTGAAATACATAAAACAATTTCTTCTTTCAGAACACACAATTTGTTGGCTGACGAAATTGCCACTGCTGTGCACAGCTTGGCCGTTGTTGACATCCGCTGGTTCTTTGGACATTTCCTACCCAAATTTTTATCCAATTGCGAAGGTCTAGATAATGTGCAAAGGTGTACGCTTTTGGAGAATTTCGACAAAGCTACGGTTGGTATAAAAATCGAGTGTTTTATAGTTTAAATCAGGATACTATGTAGTATTATTACTTTCTTCAGGATCAACCTACGTTAACGAGATCCGTACTCAGATTGATATCGGATCTACGGTGCTATCAATTGTGTAGATCCTAAAAACCATAGACTTGAAAGAGAAAGAAAAAAATATTGTTTCCCAAGGACCGCATCTGGTATTTAAACGATACAAAAGTATTGAAGTAGTAGGAATGAAGTTTCCTACGCAGAGAAAATGTAAAATAAGGCATTTGTGATACAATATTCTACATGATCCACTGCCGTATATGTAATACAACTTTACAAGAGAAAATTTAATATTATAAATAAAACAAAAACGTTTTTTATATATACTATATATACACGATAATCTAACTATATAATTATTCAATGATACACATTCATATTACTGTAAACAGATCGATTAAAAGATCTTGTTTATCGGTCCTCTACAATTTCCGTTTCCTGAATACCATCATTTCTTACGTCTTCTCTTATCACTACTGTCCGTAAAGATAAAAAGTCCTCCTACTGATAACCTTCGATCTTTGTTTGCGGCAGAAACTTGCTAGATTGCAAGTCGGTCGATGTCACTTCAGAAACAATGTCGAGACTGCTAGTAAGAAACTTAACACCGACGTCAGCTGCGCAATTGAGTTTGAGGAAACTGGTAACAGACCCAAAATATGGATTTCTAAAGCAATTGGGCCTGGTAGCAGAAAATCCTGGTTTATACGATGGCAGGTGGGGTGGATCTGGCAAGGTACGTAACAGAGTAACAACCCCTTTTGAATACTGTAGGCTTAATTACATGACAATTGTAGGTAATCGAGTCCATATCACCGGCAACAGGTAAAGTGATAGCGAGGGTACGAGAAACAACGCCTCAGGAGGCAAGTAATGCAGTCACAGAAGCTAAGAAGGCCTGGGCCCATTGGGCCTCATTGCCTAGCCCCGCCAGGGGTGAGATAGTCCGTCAGATAGGTGATGAACTGCGTAAAAATTTGAAACCCCTGGGACAACTCGTTTCTTTAGAAATGGGTAAAATTTTACCTGAAGGAATTGGCGAGGTCCAAGAGTATATAGATATATGTGACTATGCCGTTGGATTATCGAGAATGCTGCCCGGAAGTCTCTTACCGTCAGAACGAAAGGATCATATCCTTCTCGAGAAATGGAATCCTCTTGGGGTCATTGCTGTTATATCAGCATTTAATTTTCCTGTGGCTGTTAGTCTCCTTTATGTATCCTTTAATTCCGAAAATGCATATTATCATTGAGGCTCAATTTATAAAGGTGTACGGCTGGAACAGTGCCATTGCCATGGTTTGCGGAAATGCTATCATTTGGAAAGGAGCACCAACTACTCCGCTGGTTTCCATAGCCACCACGAAGATCGTCGCTGGAGTCCTAGAGCGTAATGCTATTCCTGGTTCTGTGGCTTCTCTGGTGACTGGAGGTGTGGATGTCGGTGATACTTTGGTTAATGATAAAAGGTCCATTATATTTTTGATTGTTGTTTATTAAATCTGATAGTATCCATATAGGCTAATTCCAACTGTATCCTTTTTCTGTTAGGATACCCTTGGTTTCTTTCACTGGCAGTACAAAAGTAGGAAAGCAGGTAGCACTTAAGGTACAGGACAGATTTGGAAAATCACTTCTAGAATTGGGAGGCAATAATGCTCTAATAGGTAAATAAATAATTGATTGATTTAAATAATCTGTAGATATTTATCAGGATACTATAAAAAAGTATTTGCATAGTGGCCCAGGATGCGGATTTAGAAATGACTGTTAGGGCAGCAGTTTTCTCATGCGTTGGAACTGCTGGCCAGAGGTGTACTACTACCAGAAGATTAATTCTGCACAATAAAATCAAAGATGAATTATTAGGTAATTATAAATTGTCATAAAATATATAATAACATTGTTTAAAAAATCTCTCACGTACAGGAAGACTTAAAACGGCATTCAAAAGTATTCTGGGAAGAATTGGAGATCCATTGGATGATGGCACACTATATGGACCATTACACAATCAACAAGCAGTTGATGCGTATAAGGTAATTGAAAAAAATACTAAGGTTCAGAGATGGTGTAAACAGTTTTCCCAATAAATTGTTTTTCCTCTTCCTGGCAGGAAACTATCCGTAAAGCAGTAGAGAGTAAAGGAAAAATTGAATTTGGTGGAAAACAAGTAGAAAGACCTGGTTTCTATGTTGAACCAACTATAATTTCCGGTTTACCTATAAATTCGGAAGTCGTGCAACATGAGACATTTGCTCCGATCGTTTATATATTCGAAGCAAACTCTCTCGAGGAAGCCATTGTTCTAAACAACAGTGTAGAACAGGGATTAAGCAGTTCTCTGTTCACTAAAAATGTAGCCAGCATGTTCCAGGTAAATTAAAAGTTCACTCTAAATGAGGATCTAAATACGAACGTCTGTACCACGTTGCAATATGTGTATAATTATTTATTCCTTAGTGGATTGGACCGCACGGATCAGATTGCGGAATCGTTAACGTAAACATTGGTACCAGTGGAGCCGAGATTGGCGGAGCGTTTGGCGGAGAAAAAGCAACAGGTGGTGGCCGAGAAAGTGGAAGCGATGCTTGGAAACAGTATATGAGAAGGGCCACGGTAACCATCAATTATGGAAGTGAACTACCCTTAGCACAGGGTATTAAATTTGAATGATCTAATTATAAGGAGAAACTGTAGGATAAGTGAATGTAAACTGAGACGAATGTAAAAATATTTTTATTACCACGATATACATAGAAAAAAACTTAAGAAGATAAATCGAAACGTATAAAGTCAACTTCTATGTCTACTGAACTTTTTTTATGGAACTTATAAATACGGGGCAGGTCGTATCTTAGCTCGGCAATGACTTTACAGTTAGCCCCAAGTCTTGAACCCCTCCTGAGGACGTGTTTACGAGTACTTGTCTTGTGCAAGGAGTAGACTGTATTACGTGCGAGTTTCATGGCAATTTCTAGAAACTTCATATCCATTCCAGAATTGTCTTTTGTACCAAACGGTGGATTCATTATCACCGTGTCAAAGTACTTCTCGAATCTTCCTGGAAGACAAACACGATTTTGTGTTACTTTCAATAGGATTCGAGATGCGCTTGAAGGATACGAACCTGGCAGATATTCCAAAATGTCGCACTGAACAGCATCCATGTTTACGTCGATTTCGTCGCGATTAGATTGTAATATCTGAAGTGCATCTGGATCTATTTCGAATCCTACAACGTGGCTAGCACCTAATAGTTGGGCTCCTAACGAGAGAACTCCACATCCCGCACCCAGGTCAGCAACGGCACGATTTTCCAGATCATGATATTGCATTTGAGCAGTGTATAGCATGTGTGCTCCAATGTGGGCACTGGTGGCATATTGCTCGAGTGATATTTTTGGTTGATCAAATACTTCAAGCTCCTGGAGACATCCTTCCAGCTCTGCTAGGCGTAGCTTGGCCATATTGTGTAGGATGAGTTAAAATTTAAGCTTTGGTGTGTTCTACTGTGTGAGCAAATCACTTGCTATCAAATCGAGGTAGAACTGGTAAAATGAGATTGCCAAAGGAGGAGTCTTGAGTAACAAAATATCCTGTTGAGGCAGCATGAGCATTGTGGAGAGCAGCTCGTTGGGATGCACTCATTGTTACTCCATCGCTTGCTGCTGCTGGGGGCTAATTTCATAATCTTGATAGTAGTTTTTATAGTTAATAATAAAAAGGAAAAGTTACTATCGTAGATCGGCTCACCAGGCTGGATGCTGAACTTGTTGGAGTAGCGGCTAGAGGAGTACCAAGATATGGGGTGACAACCTGTTTTAAAAGCTGTTGTTTCTTTATCTGCAATTCCTCCAATATCTTTCTATTTTGTAGCTCTGAAAAGAATAAACATTTCTGTCTTTCTTCATATCATCAATCTTACCCAGACCATAGAAAAATTAAATAAAAATACCTCTTGAATTAGGTTGTGGAAAAGCCATGAAATCCAACGTGCTACAATAACAGCAAAAAACCTTCAATATTCTTCAGACATCCAATTTTTTTTTAATGAATCAAAATGATTTATTAAATAAAGTATATCAAGAATCAAACAATCACCTGTGCAGCTCAAAATAGAAAGCCGACAAAGACAGGTTAAGTGTATGAAAAAGCAATCACGTTCAGTCCCAAACTTCTTAAAGAATAATCCCTTTCGATTTTCCTTATAATATTCTATATGCCTTAAAACTACAAATCAATATCAATAAAATCTTAACGCAAGCATCTTTCATGTAGTATACATTTCGAATTAGTTTTCTAAGAAGATAAAACAGAAATTCAACCCTAATCCGTATCTGTCAAGCGAATACTCAAGCGATTCAAACGTAAAATGTGGCACTCTAGGTAAACTAACTCTATGCTGCACCGTGCTGCACAAACTCAACCAGCTACACGGTGGTAAAAACACGGGATAGAGCCTCTCGATCGGTCAAAGGGTTAAACTGCCCATCTTTGCGGTGAGTCGCTTCAACTTGACGTCACAGTTAAGATCGAGCAGCAGAGACCGAGCGGAGAATGGAGAACGCATGCGCCAGCAGGCGCCACCTCGCGAACAGTCTAATCGCAGAAGTGATTCTGAAGAGTCCCTTCGCGGTCGTGTTTCCCGGTTTTCTTCGTATTTTTCGAGCCAAGAGGTGCTCCCCGGTTGTCGTATTGTCGTGAAAACGTGAGTAACATTTGTCGCACCTTATGAAGCATCGAAATCGCGAAACCCATGTCTTTGAATGGCAATCCTTAAGTATTATTTTCACGGCCAGACGTGACGGGTCCTGGCAAAATGGCCGTACTCGGTTTACAACAAACGGTTGTTTCGCGTTTGACCGATGATTTCACGCCCGTTCCGTTATTGGTGCTTTAACTTATCGACACTCTCGCGTTCTTCTGGCTTAGCTCAAGGAACCTCTTCTTACGCTTAGATGTCTTAACGTATGTCGACCGACTAGGATATTTTAGACGATCGTTGCTCATCGCCTTGAATTGATTTTTTCGCGAGTTACCGCTTGCGTGGTATTGCCATGGTTCTCGCACCTATACCAGATTCTTCTTAGACTAAACCATATGTAAATGATTAAGGAATTTGAACCTTTGCTCCGAAACTTTTTTATGCCGATCACATTGTCTCTCTCTTCCACTCTCGATCTGCCTATCTTGCTTCTTACTAGTCGCGAATCATCGACGATTCTTCGACGCGCATTTATCTCATTCTCCTCGTCATCGACTTTGACAACGCCGTTTACTTTAAAGCACACTTACATAGTCCCAGCTGAAGAAGCTGTCAAAAAGCTCGATTAACCTGACTAATCTCAATGGCCATCCTCTTGAGATCGTTTATACACTCGCTGCTACCTTACTTTCAATGGCCACTTTCGTGGGCCCAGATTACACTCTTCAGGTTGTATAAAGAACTGTGACAACATCTTCCTAGTTCAATAATTTCTATTAAATAAAACAAAGGCCGACATGGGTTGTTGTCCAATGGATATCTCGCGGAATTGACAGGAAAATTCATTCGCTCCTCGTGCTTGGAGCGTTGAGTTTTTAATACAGAAAGACTCGTTTGTGTTTGCGGATTCTTGGTTATTATAAATAAAAAAAGAAAAAAAACTTCAAACCTCCTGCATTTGGGAAGAGTGCAAGTCTTGACAAATTCTCGTTAAGCATTATTCTCAATCCCCGTTTGCATGCACAGAGTCCATGCCATACAACACCCGTGACGCATCTTATTTAGATAAAGGACGCCTTATTGCAGCCAGTTTGAAAGATCATTCTTTCTACCACCTGCTTATTATCGGTTCTTATCTCATAAAGATAATCTGTTAGGATTTTAATTATTTTTCATAAAGCAACCCCAATGCATGAACGAGCTAACCATCCTCTAGAGAATATTGCATGTATGAATTGCACATTTCCAAAGGCCGTTCCACTTATCTTGGCATCCAGTGGTACCTCGTAAGAGGAACCAAAGTTTAATTAATTACGTTACCGGAAGTGCGAATACAAGGTATAGTAAAGTGGCAATAAATATTTGAGTGCATCGCAAGGGAGTAGACGGGGTTGAAGGCGGCGGGGGTGGCCGGTCGGCAGTTTGGAGCTGAGATATTGATTGCAGAACGTGCCTCACGCATCATCCACATTGCGCGCCGAATCAGCCCTCTCTTAGCGATTGTCAAGGTCTTCTTTGAGGGAACGACGCCCCATTTTCTCTCGCTGAATTTTTCCCCAAAGATTGCACTAAAGGAATACTCGCGATTGGGATCTTTTTAAATAGTTGGGTAGGTTGCAGCATGCAGGCGTCTGCAGACTAGTTGAATTTCTCACGAAGATATTTCTAATGTTAAAATCTTTAATGCGGTATAGCAGATAAAAAAGATAGACAAGATGATATCCTATCTTGTTCCTTGTTGCATATGTTTCAGGTTACCGTAATGGCAGGACACTGAAATCGAGCTGGCTGGAGAGTCTAGTCGTGCTCATCCGAATTTTCGCCCAGGAAGCAGCCGGATTACACGAGGATCATGAAAATGGTGTTGTCTCAACGTCAGAGGGAGGAGTTGTAAGTCGAGACACGATAAATAAAAGGAGGCCATTGAATATTGCCAGACTCTACGGGAACTAATGCAGGATCGAAGGTCGAGGATCAATAATTTATAGGTGGCTCAACGTGACTGCCCAGCTAGAACACCCCTGAGCGACACCAGGGGTTGTCAGACATACGAACAGCAACTTCTAAAATAACTTTGGATATTTGAGAATAGTCTTCGTCTCTTGTCATCGTTAAGGAAAACACCAAGCAGAGGGTGGATGATATGTTGGGGTGCTGAGGGGTGAGATGCCTCGTTTGCCGAGCAGGCGCGTTACAGAGGATCGATACCAGGGGATGAATTACGTGGCGGAGAGGAAGGAAGGAAAAAAAAGGGAATCCCGCCAGCATCGATCGGTCTTCTCTCTTGGCTTGGCCATACTTCCCCCTTTTCCAAGTGTAATCAACCTCTGCTTCATTAGGAGAACCTCAGGATACTCCTGACTCCTGAACGGCCGCGGACGTTTGAGAACAGAATGTCTTGTGAAAAATTACCAAGCCACCCTCTGTGGCGGTTTCCTTGAGTCTTCTAGAGAGCACTAGGTGCTCAATGTGAACGCCATAACTATTTCCATTGTGTAGGATTTCAAATGACTTCCCTCATTATTCTTCACGGGACTTGACGCGCGCTCCAGTCGCCCTAGCGAATCTTAATTGCAGACAGCGCGTGTAATGGTAATTGTGTCAAGCGGCAAACGATAGGCGAATTCGCAGGCTCGTAGTGGGAGAAACGACAAAAGCAGCTGCCACTCGATTCACTAGGACGAAGGCCTTTCACCCCGAGTTGTACTGGCTTTGCCCGACTTTCGATCTCTTTCCCACGTACTCCAGTGGTTCCCGTGTTGTTCCTATAGAGAATCGGCACAAGGAACGCAAACGACACCGTAGATGTATACTGGGTGCTCCTAAAATAATTTAAAAAAATATTATCACTTGCAGAAATAAGGCGATCGCGGACTACCTCAGTACCAATGGCTATCAGGATGCGCTGGAAGCGTTCAAGAAGGAGGCTGATATGCCCGGTGAGGTCGAGCGCAAGTACGGCGGCCTCCTTGAGAAAAAATGGACATCCGTTATACGACTGCAGAAGAAGGTGATGGAATTGGAGTCGAAGCTCTCTGAAGCTGAGAAGGAATTCATTGAAGGAGCACCGACGCGAGGAAAGCGATCACCGACCGAATGGATACCACGACCGCCAGAAAAATATTGTCTAACTGGACACAGAGCTCCCATCAACAGAGTCATCTTCCATCCGGTTTTCAGTCTGATGGTTTCAGCGAGCGAGGATGCCACCATCAAGGTGCAAAAAATGCTTAAATCCTAAACTATCATAATAGCTCAATCTGACATTCCTTTTCTCATCTCATCCTCTCTGTTGTGCTCCGGCATCGACGAAGGTATGGGACTTTGAAAGTGGAGAATTCGAACGAACGCTCAAGGGCCACACGGACAGCGTCCAGGACGTGGCATTCGATGTCTCCGGCAAGCTACTCGTTTCCTGCAGCGCAGACATGTCCATCAAACTGTGGGACTTTCACCAATCCTTCGCCTGTATCAAGACCATGCACGGGCACGATCACAATGTGAGCTCGGTGTCGTTCATGCCTCAGGGTGATTTCATAGTGAGCGCATCGCGAGATAAGACCATCAAGATGTGGGAAGTGGCAACAGGCTACTGCGTAAAGACACTCGTCGGTCACAGGGAATGGGTGAGGATGGCGCGAGTGAGCCCTTGCGGCGAGCTCATTGCCAGCTGCTCGAACGACCAGACTGTGAGAGTCTGGCACGTAGCCACCAAGGAGACCAAGGTAAGTCGCAATTAAATATACACAGGTTCCACCTCCTCGACGTATTCGTCATCAACTCGCTTATCCAATTGCCTATATAATCATCCCGTCTCAGGTCGAGCTAAGGGATCACGATCACGTAGTTGAGTGCATCGCGTGGGCACCAGAGAACGCGAGGGCGTCCATCAATGCCGCAGCAGGTGCCGACAACAAGGGTGCTCACGAGGGTCCCTTCCTGGCATCCGGATCCCGGGACAAGACGATTCGCGTCTGGGACGTCGGGGCCGGTGTCTGTCTCTTCTCCCTCCTCGGACACGACAACTGGGTCCGCGGCATCGTCTTCCACCCTGGTGGCAAATTTATCGTCAGCGCATCCGACGACAAGACGCTACGAGTCTGGGACACGCGCAACAAACGGGCAATGAAGACGCTCGAAGCGCACGTTCACTTTTGCACCTCTGTCGGTAAGTTTCTCACTCTCTTCACTTTCCACATTGGCATTACGTGCATACGCACAACCACCAATTCACGTGCATCCTCTCAGATTTCCACAAGAACCATCCGTACGTGGTAAGCGGTAGCGTGGATCAGACGGTGAAGATTTGGGAGTGCCGCTAGTCACCGAACTTTCGAATTTTCTTCAAGATTTCGCGACACTGAGTTGAGCACAGGGGGAGACGCGCGAATCCAATTCTGTGAAAATGGCCGAAAGAGTAAGCTGCTACAAAAGCTATCGTACATACTACTACTACTACTACTACTACAAATATTATAATTATAATTATTATACAACACATAAACACATACGGTTAAGAGCTCTTTAATTAATTTATAATAAAGTATAATTAGTAATTAATATTATTGTACAAGCCGTATACGTATATATACACGTATGTATCAACGTATGCGTAATGCTACGTGGGACCACGTGTACGTATACGTATATCGTTTCAACGGTAACGAATTATACGAACGATTAGTACGAAATGGATCGATTAACGAGGCGATTATGGAAACGTAGCCGAGGAGGACGATTGCCAATCATCATCTTCAGCATTGATCATTTTCCTACGGTTCTCGACCCGTTTCGCCTGTACTTCGTTCCGCGCACATTCGTTCAGCCACGACTTTTACTTTTTATCATTCACACTGCTCACTGACGTCCCGACCTTCTGAAACGTCAACTGAATAGAATGACAATTTACGCGAAGGAAGACAGCGCGTAGGGGATCGTCGGGCGTCTCGCGGGGCGCTATTGCCAAGCTTCGTTGATTCATCTTCTAAGCGTCACTATCAATTAAACATTACTCAACGACTACTAGAGTACAATCTACATCGCGACCAGTAATCATAGCGAGCGAGACTCACAAGCAAGACTTCGGAATCCACCTGCGTGTAATGTCCTCCTCGAGCTCATCTTGGACCTGTAAAGGAAACTGCGACATCGCAATAACCATTGCATTGCAATAGGATACTACCACTCTTTCTTTATTTATATACATACGGATATACCATCGCAACACTTATACTATTACGAAGAATACGATTAATAATTAATAATCAACCTTACGATCGATTACTACAATTACTGTACCATGGATGAATTTGTACTTTCACCAGAGAGACGACACTGCAAGTCGAGATACGAGTTCGAGTCGGGTCTTCTTCTCTTTTTTTTTCTTCTCTTTTCTATTGCCTATTCTACTTTCTCCTCGAGTCTCCACAGCTTGTCTCTCTCATTTGACACATATTTTTACACTTTCTTACTCTTCTGCTTTTTTTTTTTTTTTTAATCTGTCTCGCCTCTGCCTACGGTAGCCTATCTTTTTTTAATACATCTCTTGCTTTTTTGCTTTTATAACGTGCAGCAGATAGGATTGTTGCGTACGTGTATATAGAGAGCACGTGTATATTGTTTTGACATAAATCTATTTTCTATTCGGTAGAACCAATAAGACTGTCTTCTGTATTACCAAGACGTCTTAACGTGAATTTCTAAATCACTCGAAATGTATGCGATTCGAGTCGACGAGATGTAAACATTCGTTATCTCTGCTTTCTCTCGTTTTCCCTTTTATCTGTTTTTGCATCTGCTTCGTTCGATTCTTATTTGGTAATTCCGACTGTCTTCGTACTCGCTGGGATATTAACCTCGTTCGCGTTATTAAACGAGCCGAAGACACGCCAACGTAACAGGTCCAAATGCTTTTGATGCTCTTCTCCGCGCGAGAATTAATGAAGGAAAGGCGGACGAGTTTTAACGGAATCCGACGAGCCAATAACTTCCGCTCCTGAGATAAACCGAGAGAATCCAGAGAAACTTGACTTTTCGCCAACGCTCGGCGTCCAATCGACGTGCATTATTAATAATAAATAACTAATTAACATATAGCGGCGGTAGTAGCGAGCGTCACGTTAAGGGGGGACGAGGAAAAAAGATAATTGTGAAAACCGACGTAAACGTATGATACACGTAAGAGACGTTGCAAATTTTAATTATCCAAAAAGCAACGCGTATTAACTATCGTACGAAAATCATTAGTCGCGTAGCTTTTCCTTTTTCAAACGGGTTCCGAAAAAAAATTTAAAAAAAAACGCCCCGCGTATAATTAACTAGGAACGTATTTACTAAAGTAACCACTAACTAAGGGTAGTGCAAAATGTAAACGTAGTTAACAAAAAAAAAATGGAAGTAAGGGGGAGTGGAGGAGATGCAGTTTTTTTGTTTTGGATTATATGTATAAACCAATGCTCAGGCAACCGCGTTTCTCTTGGTCTCGAGCACAGTAATATGATTAATGCGAAAACAAAATGGAAATACGCGCAGACAACCAAGAAAACACTCGCACGAGAAAGAAATTCACAGGCGACTTGCAGGAGCTATGATAGGCGATGATGATTAATTAAGAATGAATTATCAAACAGTATATTAATTGTCTCCTCCATTTTTATCCCATGTTTCCCTGTCCGAACCAAGTCCCCCCCCCCCCCCCCCTCCC